CGGCAGGTCCCATACCCGTGGTCCGAAAAAGGGGCGCGTTCGATAATGGGACATAGTTTGTCCGAAAAAAAGGGTTTATTTTCGAAACGTTCGATATGTGATACGTTCTTTTTAAAGGTTCCACTGTAGTTTAAAACTTTTCTTCTTGACAATGCAAAGCATCACCCCCCCCCGTGAAGCAGTTATTAGATGTATTTGTCATTTATTTTTTTGTTGCAGAAGTACTATAAAGATTCTAGTTCAATAAAGCCTAGAAAAAAAAGGCCGGGTTTTTCTACCCAAAACACCCCTCTCCAAGGATTTAAAAGCACAGATAGGGGCTTCTTTAGTTTTGATAACACGGAGTTTCCCTTAGTCTAGCCCTGGGGTGAGTATGGGCCAGTCATTTTATCGCCTGTTTGAAGCATTTTTGGGATCGGTAACGTCAGATAGGCTTATGTTTTTTCCAAATTCTGTGGGGCTTCATAAAAAATTTTTTTAGTCTTCGACTCAGTTGGTTAGGGGGTGCTAAAAACTGAGTCATAGGGCTTGAGTAGCTCCCATTTCCTTCTTTTTAAAGTGAGGGCCCATCTGTTTAAGTAGGGGCCCAATACTGGGTGTGTTTTGACTTTTTTTTTGGGGATAAGAAAAAAATGTACTTTTTGGGGTTTTTTTCAATTTTATTTAGGGCTTTTGTTCTTCCCGCGATTCCTGACCCCATAAGATTCCCTTTTGCTTAGTTTCGATTTTTGCTATTTCCTGACCAGTGTCTCCCCACACTTGCGATATATTGGCCCTGATATGTATGATAACTATGTAACTATATTTTATACTAATAAATTATTTAAATTATTTTTTTTTTTTAATGTAGGCCTCCCGCTGGGTTAAACCCCAGGACCCACTTATGTCTGACGCCATCGCCGATCACTCTGGTTTTCCGCCAAATTTAAATTTATCACAAGTAAGGGAAAGGTTTCCAATATGGAGATAAAATTTTTATTATAAAAAAAAAGGTTTTAAAAAACATGGGTCATGTGGGACAGCTGCCGATTGAATTTGGTTTTTAATTATAGTTTAATAACGGTTTTTGCAAAATTTGTTTTTTTTTGTGGAATAGTCCCCAAAAAAATTTGGAAATTGTTAAAATAATATTTTATTCGTATTTTTTTTACACAAATCAATTTTACAAGCTAAGAATTGTATCCCACTTCATGTCATGTTTATTATCTACACTCTTCAGGTCACTTGTTCTATCTAGGCTGGAATATTGCTGCACACTAACAGCACCTTTCAAGGCAGGTGAAATTGCTGACCTAGAAAATGTACAGAGAACCTTCACGGCGCGCAAAACGGAGATAAAACACCTCAATTACTGGGAGCGCTTGAGGTTCCTAAACCTGTATTCCCTGGAATGCAGGCGGGAGAGATACATGATTATATACACCTGGAAAATCCTAGAGGGACTAGTACCGAACTTGCACACGAAAGTCACTCACTACAAAAGCAAAAGACTTGGCAGATGATGCAACATCCCCAATGAAAAGCAGGGGTGTCACTAGCATGTTAAGAGACCATACAATAAGTGTCAGGGGCCCGAGACTGTTCAACTGCCTCCCAGCATACATAAGGGGGATTACCAACAGACCCCTGGCAGTCTTCAAGCTGGCACTGGGCAAGCACCTAAAGTCGGTTCCTGACCAGCCGGGCTGTGGCTCGTGCGTTGGTTTGCGTGCATCCAGCAGTAACAGCCTGGTTGATCAGGCTCTGATCCACCAGGAGGCCTGGTCACAGACCGGGCCGCGGGGGCGTTGACCCCCGGAACTCTCTCCAGGTAAACTCCAGGTATTAGTCATACACTTCAACATCCAAACATTCATCCATTTATAAATACTGTACCTGTATATTAAGCAACCATAGTGACCTGCTTTACTGGAAAGTGATCCTCTTCTCTCTCACATACGCTAACATGAGCCATACTCTCCTCATACAATCTTTTTACTGCTTGTAGTGACATACCCCCCTCTATACATTTGCAACATCAACCATAATACGTATGTCCCTATCCACCCCATCATATGCCTATTATAAATCCATAAATTATGGGGGAGTACTAAACCTATAGGGATTATACAGCACCTGTTTGGGGGTGGGGGAGGCAGAAGGCACTCAGATCAAGAGCCACTCACCAGCATCTAGGAACCTCCCTTGAGGAGTCTAAATCCATAAAGCTGACAAAAGGTTCTGTCTTTATCTTATGCTTATATACTTCAGTTTAGACACTTGATCTACATATCTCCTACCCTTCCTGTTATTATAATCATTAACTAAGCACTAAACCCACTAGGGTCATAGTGTTTTCCTACCCTTCCTAATTCCTCTTTATTCTTCCTACTTTCTGTCTTACCCTAACTTTCAATAATAATTCTACCAGTACACTTCACCTAGTATGCTCAACAGGTTTATTTTCCTGTAGTAGTTTAATCATAACTTAGTTACCATTTGGTCCTAGGCACATGTCGATTAGACACTAGGCCTGTTGTATGTGCATGCGTGTGTGTGTGTGTATGTATGTTAGTATGTGTGTGTGTGTGTGTGTGTGTGTGTGTGTGTGTGTGTGTGTGTGTGTGTGTGTGTGTGTGTGTGTGTGTGTATGTGTGTGTGTATGTGTGTGTGTACTCACCTAATTCACCTAATTGTGGTTGCAGGGGTCGAGACTCAGCTCCTGGCCCCGCCTCTTCACTGATTGCTACTAGGTCCTCTCTCTCTCTCTGCTTCCTGAGCTTTATCATACCTCTTCTTAAAACTATGTATGGTTCCTGCCTCCACTACTTCACTTGCTAGGCTATTCCATTTCCTGACGACTCTATGACTGAAGAAATACAGTGGACCCCCAGTTAACGATATTTTTTCACTCCAGAAGTATGTTCAGGTGCCAGTACTGACCGAATTTGTTCCCATAAGAAATATTGTGAAGCAGATTAGTCCATTTCAGACCCCCAAACATACACGTACAAACGAACTTACATAAATACACTTACATAATTGGTCGCATTCGGAGGTAATCATTATGCGGGGGTCCACTGTACTTCCTAACGTCCCTGTGACTCGTCTGAGTCTTCAGCTTCCAGTTATGACCCCTTGTTCCTGTGTCCCCTCTCTGGAACATCCTATCTCTGTCCACCTTATCTATTCCCCGCAGTATCTTGTATGTCGTTATCATGTCTCCCCTGACCCTTCTGTCCTCCAGTGTCGTCAGTCCGATTTCCCTCAACCTTTCCTCGTACGGCATTCCCCTGAGCTCTGGGACTAGCCTTGTTGCAAACCTTTGTACTTTCTCTAACTTCTTGATGTGCTTGACCAGGTGTGGGTTCCAGACTGGTGCTGCATACTCCAGTATGGGCCTAACATACACAGTGTACAGTGTCTTGAACGATTCCATATTAAGGTATCGGAATGCTATTCTCAGGTTTGCCAGGCGCCCGTATGCTGCAGCAGTTATTTGGTTGATGTGTGCCTCCGGTGACGTGCTCGGTGTTATGGTCACCCCGAGGTCTTTCTCCCTGAGTGAGGTCTGTAGTCTTTGTCCACCTAGCCTATACTCTGTCTGCGGTCTTCTTTGCCCCTCCCAATCTTCATGACTTTGCATTTGGCAGGATTGAATTCGAGAAGCCAGTTTCTGGACCACATGTCCAGCCTGTCCAGGTCTCTTTGCAGTCCTGCCTCATCCTCATCCGATTTAATTCTTCTCATCAACTTCACATCATCTGCGAATAGGGACACTTCAGAGTCTATTCTTTCCATCATGTCGTTCGCATATATCAAAAATAGCACTGGCCCTAGAACTGACCCCTGTGGGACCCCGCTCGTCACAGGCGCCCACTGTGATACTTCTTCACGTACCATGACTCGTTGCTGCCTCCCTGTCAGGTATTCCCTGATCCACTGCAGTGCCCTCCCTGTTACATGCGCCTGATCCTCCAGCTTCTGCACTAATCTCTTGTGGGGAACTGTGTCAAAGGCCTTCCTGCAGTCTAGGAAAACGCAATCAACCCACCCCTCTCTCTCGTGTCTTACTTCTGTTACCTTGTATGTGTGTGTGTGTGTGTGTGTGTGTGTGTGTGTGTGTGTGTGTGTGTGTGTGTGTGTGTGTGGTGTATGTGTGTGTATGTATGTGTGTGTATGTATGTGTGTGTATATGTGTGTGTATGTGTGTGTACATGTGTGTGTATATGTGTGTGTGTATATGTGCTAAACCCACAAGGGTCATGCAGCACTGCTTATTTCTCTGCAGTTCTTACATTTTCCTTGCCCCCGTTCCTCTTATTATATTTAGAAAAGACAAATGTTATTCACATTAATGGAGAAGCTTTAAACCCCTAGGGGCCATAAATTATTATAATGAAAACTAAGCTCTAAACCCAGGGGCTACACAGTTCCTTGAGAAAGGGGAATTTGAAGCAATCAGATTTGATCCAAGGAGTTACAGGGTAGCTTCAGTTCCCTGGATCAAGAGCTTTTCACCGGCATTAAGGCACTTTTGCAGAAGAAAGGTAGTTCAAATTCCTTGGATCAAGAGCTCTCCATCAACATGAAGGCACCCACTCCTACTTTAAGGGTGTTTTAATACCAATGAAATGTCCTAAATTAAGGTTAATTAGAACCACCTTCCACTTCCTTGGATCACCCAATTGCCTCCCATTACCTTGTGTTGAGTAAATTTAGACTTCTGAATAGTGGTTGGGGGAAAGGGGGGGGGGGGTAAGTTTGTTGCTTAGGACCCGATAATTATACTAATAGGAGATTTATGTGTTGCTGTGATAGATTTGAGGTGATTAGCATTATTATAATCAGAGAAAGTGCTAAACTGACCAAGGTCATACAGTGCTGCAAGGTGATAAGCAGTTGTGGACCCCATGAACACACCATAGGCGAGGCAAGGATAGGTAATGATGCTTCCATACATAGCACATTTTCAAGAGTATGCTTACTATTTATGCATAATTTTTTTTTTTCACTTTTAGACCTGGGGATAGAAGGTGGGCAGCAGCCAATCCCTGGGATCTGCAAGTTTGTGTACAACAGCAGCTACACTAGTAATGGTACTCTCTATTCTCCCAACCCTGGAGGATACTACCCCCAGGACACCACCTGTACCTACCTCTTTTATGGCCGTCCTGGTGAAGCAGTCCGACTTATTTTCAAGTACTTCGACGTGGAAGGTGTCATGCCGTGAGTGTCTTAAATTTATACACAGAAATGAGTTTTTATTGCCCAGTTTTATGTACATACTAGGTGTTAAAATATTCTTGGTGCTAGTGCACAAGGAAAACTGCAGCTTTAATAACCCATGGGCAGTTCAGTCTTTTAGCCTAACAAACTGAAATAATGTTGTAGGTGCAATGAGGCAACAGAGAGCGACTCCCTCGAGTTTTCGAACTTCCCAAGCGCTGACCGTAAGATTCCTTCCTTCTGCGGAAGTGTTGCCCCCACAGTTATCCAGAGCGATGGTGCCTTCTTCAGGCTCGTCTTCAAGAGTAACAGCAAGTTTAGTGGGACAGGGTTTACTGCCGACTACCAATTTCTGGACATGTCATACCAACCATACACTATCAAGAAAGTAATTATGTCTGCAGAAACCAGTAGTAGGCTCATGTCAGCTTGGACACTTGTGATTAATATGTTGCTTCTGGTGTGTCTTCAGTATCTTGGATAAATATGCACTTTCACCAGGTACTGTATACAGTGGACCCCCGCATAACGATCACCTCCGAATGCGACCAATTATGTAAGTGTATTTATGTAAGTGCGTTTGTACGTGTATGTTTGGGGGTCTGAAATGGACTAATCTACTTCACAATATTCCTTATGGGAACAAATTCGGTCAGTACTGGCACCTGAACATACTTCTGGAGTGAAAAAATATCGTTAACCGGGGGTCCTCTGTATACAGACTTGTTTATTTCTTGTTGTGCTCTATATACTACTTTTCCTAATGTTCCTTCTACATCTTCAAAGTAAAACCTTTTTGCCACTTTTGTTCTTACTGCAGCATTGTTTGCCATTCCTCAAACCTGAGGTAGGCATTATCAGAAGTGTGTACCCTGATCACCTGATGGTGCTTGTGCTGTGCAATCAAAATTCGTCACATGGGGGCCACTGCTGTTTCAACAGAAGCACCAACCAAAATATAAGTGATGGCAAACTTACATGTTTACTCTTGATTCCACTACTGTGTGTGTAGTCTGGAAAAAGGTACGCAAGTTGATGGCCAAGTACTCTTCAAACCCCACTCCTGTTCTTACGGTTATGCTAGCATTGCAGACCCTATCGAGGTTGCCACAGCAATTGGGCATCACCTTGTCTGTGTATCCCAAGGGCTTGAGCTTTCCTTGTAGTTTTTCCTCCAATAAATTTCTATTATTAGGTCACTGGTATTATACCAACAAGTTGATAAATGAAGAACATGCAGTACCTGGGTAAATTTATTAACCCTTAAACGGTCCAAACGTATATATACGTTTTTTTAACATCTGAAAGTATGTAAAAAAAATGTAGATCTTTTTTGTTTTACATTTGAAAACGTGTAAAAAAACTTTTATGTACATTTTTTTTTGCTATATTTGAAAATATGTAAAAAAAAGTAGATCTACTTTTGTACCAATACAAATTTGAACGTCGATCTGCTTGGACCGTTTAAGGGTTAAGAGACTAACCCCTGCCCTTCTCTCCCTCACCACCTTTAAACATTCCTCCTCTCTTTCATACCTTCCTGCAGCTCTGTATAACTGTTGGGTTAAGCAATTAATTTTATTATTACATTCAAAGGAGTGCTAAACCCACATGGGCTATGGAAAAATGGGAGGCATTCATGTTAAATCCAAGGAAGTACAGGTCCTCATTGGTACCATGTCCTTTGCCAGTCTTTGGACATCTCATACCCCCTCTTGACCCTCAACAAAGATGCCTTGAAACTTGTGATGGTTCTTTATCCAAGAAGCATATCTATCCTTCTCTTTTCCTACATGTATAGAGCTTCCCTGTTTATATTATTATTATAATCAAAAAGAAGCGCTAAGCCACAAGGGCTATACAGCGCTGCAGGGTAGGGAAGGAAGCGAGGGTATTGGGTGGCAGAAGGGGGGGAGGGATGATCAGTACGTTACAGAAAACAGCGGGGCAGGGGATAGTGCGGGGGTAGAGGATAGAAAGAGATTGAGGTAGAAAGGGCTGAAGGCATCAGAGTTTGTGAAGCAAGTCAGTTGTTGTCAAAGTCAATGAGAGAGTCCAGATGAAAGGTGGGTCCATCAGCGAGAAGGGAAGGTAAAGAGAGAGCAGCGGAGTGAAGACGACGACGGAGGTAAATTCTGCATGCTCGTTGATAAAGTGGGCAGTCCAACAGAATGTGGCTGACTGATAACGGAGCCTGACAATTCTCACAGAGAGGAGCAGGGTGCCTCTCCATGAGATATCCATGAGTAAGACGAGTATGGCCAATGCGAAGACGGGAGAGAGTAGTCTCCCAACCTCGACACTGGTGACAAGAAGACGGCCAGTAACCTATACTTGGTTTAATAGATTGAAGTTTGTTACCGAGCATAGTAGACCAACGTTGTTGCCAACGGGTGTGAAGGTGGGTAGCTATTGCAGCAAAATAGTCCGTAAATGGAATACCTCTATATGAAGTTGTTAGGTAAGACACATATGCAACAGTTAGGTATCTATTTCAAAACGTTTCGCCTACACAGTAGGCTTCTTCAGTCGAGTACAGCAAAGTTGATAGGAGCAGAAGAGACTTGAAGACGATGTAATCAGTCCATCACCCTTGAAGTTTTGAGGTGGTTAGTCCCTCAGTCTGGAGAAGAGTATTGTTCCAGACTACAATACTGGTAGGTCATGTACTGCTGACCGCGCAGTAGTGTCTGCCTGTTCATTGCCCTGTACGTCAACATGACCAGGGACCCAACAAAAAACAATCTTTATGCTTGGTAAAGATGCGGCGTAGCCAAAGTTGGATACGGAGGACTAAGGGGCGAGGTGTATCAAATTTCTGTATAGCCTGTAAATTATTATTATAATAAAGGGGGAAGTGCTAAACCCGGAGGATTATACAGCGCCTGGGGGGGGGGGATGTGGAAGGCATTCAGGCTTAATTCGGGGAACTGGAGCACAGATACAATTTCCTAAATCAAGAGCCCCTCACCAACATCAATTATTATTATTATTATAATCAAAAAGAAGCGCTAAGCCACAAGGACTATACAGCGCTGCAGGGCAGGAAGGAAGTGAGGGCATCAGGTGGCAAAAGGGAGATGGATGAGCAACAGGTTACGGATAACAGCGGGGCAGTGGATGGTGAAAGGGTAAAGGGCAGCAAGAGACTGAACCAGAAAGGGCTGAGGGGAGTGCGAAAAAGTAATCCTCAGATGTTTGTTGGAGTAAATCGGGTCGTTATGTAAGAAAGTCAATTGAGAGAGTAGGATTAAAGGAGGGTCATTCAGCAAGAAGGGAAGGTAAAGAGAGAGTAGTTAGAACCGAAAGCGACGTTGGAGGTTAATTCTGCGTGCTCGTTGATAGAGAGGGCAGTTACAGATGTGGCTAATGATACTGGAACTTGACACTGTCACAGAGAGGAAACAAGGTTGCCTCTCCATGAGGCTACACAAGAGAAAGACGGGTGTGGGCCAATGCGAAGGGGGAGAGTGTGGTCTCCCAACTTCGGCACTGATGACAAGAGATGGCGTAACTCTGTCGGTTTAATTAGATGACGTTTGTTTAACCGAGCAGAGTTTGGACCAACGTTGTTGCAACGGGTGCGACGGTGGGTAGCTATTGAAGCAAAATAGTCAGAACAGGAACACCCTCGATAGGAAATTGGTATAGGTATTACTGCTGACGCGGGGGGCCCCAGCAGTGTCTGCTGTTCATTGCCCTGTACGTCGACATGCCGGGACCAACCAAAAAAAATATCTTTATGATTTGGTAGAGATAGGCGTAGCCAAAAGTTGGATCGGAGAGCACTAGGGAGGGAGATGTACAATTTTTCGTATTGCCTGTAGAGCACTAAGGAGTCTGAGACTACTACAAAAGATGACTCAGCATAGATGCAATCCGAATAAGTGCTGTCCTTACAAGAATGGCAATACAGTTCAGCAGTAAAAATGCTAGTGAAGATAGTAAATGCCCTCGTACGACGCTGTCCGGAAACCACTGCTGCGAATCCGACGCCGTCTGAAGACTTAGAGCATCTGTGTACACAGCGGTGGCATGAGAATGGGAGTGTAAGTGATCAAGAAAAAGAGAGCGGAAGCCACGTAGGCAGTTGAGCTTTCGGCAAGGAAAGTGAGAAAGAACTGACCGAACAGCTGGAACCTTCCCAGGGGGGCAGAATAGTGAGATGCTACATGAACATATAAAGGTGGTATGACGGGTCAGACAAGAGTGAATGTAGGCGAAGAGAAAAAAGGCGACGGAGCAAACAGGGCGGCGAAGAATAAAGAATGTCTACTAATATCGGTGACATTTCTATGAATGGAGCGAAAGGATTGTGTAGATCGTGAGGCGTACATAGTAACGAATGGCAATGGGCATCACGGCGATCAGACATGGATGGAACATTTGCTTCTTTAAGAGGCTCTCAACAGGGGACGATAGCGAAAGCACCAGGGCTACAAACGTAAGCCTTGTTGATGGATAGAGTTAAGGCTAGAGAGAGTAGCAGGAGAGGGACTGCGGATTAAATCTGGTCTACATAATCGGTTTCGATAAAACGAGCCTGAATGTAGGCGAAGGCAGAGTTCGACGATAGCTTCCCAGGAAAGATGAGCCAAGGGTTTTAAGAGGTTATTAGCCGGCTGTGACAAGTTGCCTTCAGAGAGGTCATGTTGAAGGTTCCAGGTTAAACGACGGTCAAAGAGAAGGCCAGAAACTGGACTGATATCACGTTCGGGGATACGGGAGCCATAGAGATACAAAAGGATGATCGGAGAATAACAGAACAGGTCTAGTGAAAAGTAATTTGGAGAGTTTTAGTACTTGAAAATTTAAACCCATGTGTGGTGGCCCAAGTGGAAAACGGTCGACCGCCATGATGAGAGAGAGAAACTGCAATAAGGTGAAGTCAGCGCTCTGACAAGCAAATTTTAAAAGCGAAGTCATCAAATAGAGTGATGACAAATATGGGTGGAAGACACAGAAGGCCAATCTTTATAGCAAGGAGAAAAAGTGTTGTGCTTAGAACACATCCCTGAGGGGACACCTTCCGCTTGGACGAAGTGGGGAAAGAACATTATTGATCGAACACGGAAATGTCGTCAGTTAAATAGTTTTAAGAAGGATGGTAGATTGCCTCGGATGCCTAGGAATGGGCCTGGGCCAAAAAATTATACCTCCAAGTTGTGTCATATGCCTTTCAAGGTCAAAAAAAATATGGCAATAACTGAGTGATTATTCGCAAAGCATTACAATATACGTATTCCAAGCGTAGTAAGGGGTCTATGGTTTAGGAACGACCCTTACGAAAAGCCCATTATTGACTAGCGTGAGAGGATGTTGTGAGTCTCTAAAATACACATTAAACGTTCCGATTTAGAGGCGTTCCATCACACTTTGCAAAACTGCACTTGTAAGGCGATGGGGGCGATAAGTGGGGAGGTCATCATGTCCTGAGGTACCCGTGTTTGCGGAAATATAGGAGAACATGGCAGATTTCCACAGATGGGGAGGAAGAAAAACCTTGTGCCAAATAAAGAAATTTGAAGAGGTGTAAGAGGGCTAAAGGGCTCTGATCCGATGTAAATGTTGTAAACATCGTATATGAATGTCTAGGCCCAGCTGCCGATGATCGGAAAGCTGAGAGCGTTGCCTCTGTTCTTGAAGTGTCATAGGCACATTATACTGTTCTTCTCCGAGAGAAGAAAATTCCAAGGGTACTAAAAAAAAAAAACAACCTTCGCTGGCTCAGACTTTGAGGAAAGAAACGAGGGCTAGCTGGAGCCTCGGGAAATAGGACCAGATGTGTGCAAGTTCAATGGAACGTCGAAGAGGGTTTGCTATATTTCAACACATGTGACCCGTAGAAACAGGAGCCGGGTAGGAGATGTATTTACCACTCAATTTCCTCATTTTTTCCGATGCCACTCATAGAAGAAGCAAGGTGATGGTGCGAAACATAGTCTCGGCCAACAAGTGCGTTTAGCTTCAGGATGACACGGGCGAGCGACTCGCACGCTTCTGTTTAAAATCAACAAGTCTCT